GCAACCCTCAGTGTCGCGCCCGTACCGGACCGGGACCGGCTACGGATCGCAACCCTCGATGTTGCCCCCGCTCCTCGCTCAGCCAGTGAGCGGCCGGTCTGTATGTGGGATCCGAACCCTCGGCGGGAGCGCCGCTGCACTTCCCAAGCGGCGCACTGTAGCAGTGCGCCACCGGGCCGGCCCCCTCTTGGAATATTTTAAACAGAATTATTTTTGACTCTCTTTTAGGCTGATACCAATGTTTGCATATGTGAATTCTTCCATTTTTTGCTCCTGCTGATTTTTTTAAGGTGCTTTGTAGTTTTTTTCTCTGAAGTCATCCTCAGCAAGAGGTGTTTTCTATGAAAATAAATCCTTGGTACTCTGGGTTATAGATGTGGGATAATTTCATGTTTCCTCTGCTGGTACTAAATGGATTTCACAGGTTCCAATTTAGTTTTTCTGGCTATTTCTTAGCTAGACATATCTGAATTTCATAGGTAGCATAAATTCAGAACCCCTACTATGGGTGGCTTGGGTTTAGGTCCAATTTCCTTTGAGGGCTTCCTTTCCCCTGCCCACCCCATACCTCCCTGATGTACCTTTTTTCCTCTCCTATTTATAGAAGGTCAGTCCTCCCCATTTCTGGCTTTATGAAGAGTTCAGTTTTAGGTCTCAGCTAGGATTGGTGCAGACTTGCAGCCTTGACTCCTGTCCTGGCAGGAGCATTAAACCCTAGCACTGTATTAGGATCAGATATTCTAGAGGGCCATAATTTGCCCCAAGTTAGTACTTGTGGATTTATCTTTCTTGCTGTTACACTATAGTATGTACTTAGAAGTTGTAATATTTCATCCAGGATTTCCGTGTTTGGGAAGGAAGATCTTCCTGTATCAGCTCAGTCCAGCATACTGACCAGAAGTCTGTAGTGTTTTTTACACCAGCATGATGCCGATATTTTTTTTCCTGATCACTTGGGTATTTCGGAAGCACCTGATAGGTAGGTCAAACATATGGAGTTGTTTTAAACTGTTTAGTTAAATTTCTCTAAAATAAACACCTGAGGTCCAAGTTGTAAATTTAAATACTAGATTTCTTATGTAATCATTATTTTTTGAACAGATAGTAGATACTGTGTTGAGTTTACTAAAAAATACAAATACAACAACAAAAACTATCTTATGTTAGCAGCAAAATATACAGGTTTGTAGTTCTACTATGATATTGACTGTCTTATCTCATGTTTAACTGAAATGGCAGCCATACCAACTAACTACTGAGTGCTTACCTGTACCAAGAATGATACTAGTTATTCTCACAACACTAAGGTAGACATTATCACCCCATTTACAGATGAGGAAACTGAGGCTCTGAGTGATTGTGTTACTTACCTAATGTCATGCAAGTAGGGTGAGGTCAGTGTGATTTCAAAGTGATGTTTTTAACCATTGCACTCAAACCTATAAATCTACTTGTAAACAGAGATTTATATGACTCAAAATACGATGGTTAAGTGTATGGGTTCCAAGTCAAAGACAGTCATGAATTTACCCAGATAACCCATTTGCTGGTATCAGTAACATACAAATCTATTTATATAAAATCCATTTGACATCAAGTATTTTTTCTTTTTGTACATTCAGTAACAAAATGTTAGGCAAAGAAGTCTCAGAGAAAATTTATAATCCTGTTAATATAAATATCATTTTTATTAATTTTTTAGTTTTTTTCCATATATCACCTTGCTGTTAAATGTGTTATCAAAAAAATAAAATGTTTTCCAACTGGAAATTTATTTCAACAGTATTTAAATTTTTTCAATTAAAATTGGGATAAAATTATTGTCAAACATTTCAGATGTTTATAAGTTCTAAGCATGAAATGAGGGAAAAAACACTTACAGGACTTGAAAGAAGAGGCAATCCAGTTTGAGGATGAAAGGCTCTGGTTGAGGTTCCATCCAAGGAATGAAAATTATGTTTTTGCCAGACATTTGAATGTTTCAGTGTAGTCCTCTGTTAGAAAAAAATTATATTTTAATGGTAATATTTAAATACCATTTAAAGAACTTACATAGCTTTTTAGTTTTAGACTCATTCCTAATATGTTCTGAGGTATTATATCCTTGGTGGTGAAGATGATGATATCTATATCTTATGTCTACATACACATATACATGTTCTAATTGGCAAGCAATGTCTAAGATTTATTTTTTTGTAATTTGCTGAATAAACTAAAATGTTCTAAAGAAAGTATGTCCAACTACAATTGCCTTATCAACATATGGTCATGTTTATTCAGAATCTAATATCTAGTAAGCTAATATTGATTATTTTAATTTTTGAAAAAAACAACCACTCACAGGTAGGAAAAATTAGTGTAATATTCTAAAATATAAAACTATGTCAATATCAAGAACCATTTTCAGAGGCTATAATTTGGTGGGACATGATTTGTAATCACAGCACTGCTTTTGACATAATACAAGAAATAGGTTAACTTTTTTTTTTTTTGGCAGCTGGCTGGTACAGGGATTGAACCCTGGACTTTGGTGTTATGAGCACCACAAGCTAACCAACTGAGCTAACATGTCAGCCTCAAGCACACATCTTTGTACTCCAAGTAAAGAATTATTTCCACTATTATAGTGGTTTATATTATCCCTAAAATCAATAAATAAAATTATACATAATTCCTAGTTATTCTTGTTCAATAATTCCTTAAAACATCTATACTGAAAGTTGAAATAATTCCTGAATAAGGTGATCATGTTACAGAGAATTGGACATTCCTATCTAGTTCAATTCATTCATCATTTCTGAACTTTGAGAAATCTACAGTGAAACAGGATATATCTCACCAATAGAAAATTATAGTAGAATTACACAAATCAGTTCACATATGAATACAGTTCAAATGAATTGTCTACATGATGCACTCCCAAGCGGCGCACTGTAGCAGTGCGCCACCGGGCCGGCCCTTTTTTTTTTTTTTTCCTGATGAGCACCACTCTCTAATCAACTAAGCTAATCAGACAGCCCCTACAATAGGCTAATTTTTAAGGGTTGGGCAAGTTTATACCCAAAGATCAGAAATTCATAAAAACACATGAATAAAAATTAGAAAAGACTAATTTGGGTCCTAGCTCTATCATTTACTAGTTTTGTGACCTTGGGCAGGTTACTTACCCTCTCTAGCTTAAGGCTCTCATTTGTACACTGGAGTTAGTAAATGCACCTAACTTCATAGGATAGTGAGAGGAACAGGAATAATTCAAAAGAACCAAGGACTTGTACAGTCCACATATTTGTCTTTGATTATTGTGAGGTAGTAGAAAGAACCCTGGATTACAAACCAAGACACCTGTGGGAGGCGGGGTGCCAGTTCAACCACTAAGGACTTGTAGAGTTTCTAGTATGTCAGTTATTCTTGTTGTGTCCCAGCTTCCTCACAACTCTCCTACCTGTCCTATGGTGAAGTACCAAAAAGAACCAAATGTTCTATAATTATGTGATATAACTGAAAGCAATATGTGAGGAACAAACAAAATCTAAGTATTATTCTACACATATTATATAGCATTCATTGTCCTGAATCCACAGACCAAATATTTAAAACCTGGATGCTTCTAAATAGAAGAAAAAATAATAGACCTTTTAGATAGTGGGGCAGGTGGGGATGGGGGAGGTGAGTAAAGAACAGAGCTAGAAGAACTAAATAATAGGCTTAACAGACGAAACATTAGATGTTACCTACCAATGCCTCTGTATTTTTTGGTCCTTCACATGCAGGCAAACAATCTTTTATACTCTTTCTCTGAGAACAGTTTTGTGATTTTTCATCAATTGCATCTTCTTTCTTTTCCTGTTCACTTTTTAATTGGTCTAACTTTTTGCATTTGAAACCTTCATTATCTTTATTGAGATAATTTTTTATGCTATTAAGTTGAGTATTTTGCTCAAATGTCTTAGATGTTTTTGAGTCTTTATTTGAGCACTTATTTTCATATTTGTTCAAATATTCAGACATTTCCAACATAGTAACTTTTACTTTTGAGTCAATTCTTTTTGAATTATCAAATTGGAGATTGTCAATAGATTCTGGATTATAGTTCTCATTTTTTATTATTTTTTCCCTATTCTTTTTTGTGCAAATCTGTTTGTCAATACTATTGCAATTTGAATATTGTTTATCAATTCCATTGCTAATTTCTTGCTCCTTAAATCTGCTTGTCAAATCTAAGTTATTTTCTTTGTAATGAGACATAGTTGAGGAAGTCAATAAACTAGTAGCTTTGTTCTGTGTCTCTTGATAAGTACCTTGGATGATTTCAGTAGGATTGTTCTGACACTGATTTCTTATTTGAGGTTTCAAAGAAGCCGTTTCTTCACTATTGCATTTAAAAGAACTAAAAGATTTATTAGGTATTAAGTTTTTCCCATTACTGCTGTCTCCTAACAAGGAAAATTTTGCATGAGAACTGGAAAAAGAGGCATCATCCTTATTTCTCTTCAACAAATTTTTGTCTTCATATGAACTCCTGAACACTTTAGAAGGAACTGAACTGGAGTCCCTCAAGTTGAATGACTGCCGGGGAATATGCGATGCCATTGGATCGATGTGCTCCAAGTGCTGGGCAATCCTTGCAATAACATCTTGCCGCTCCTGAAGTAAAGAGCCTATCAAAGGATTAGTCTCTCCAACAGTCTGCCGAGAATAAAGACCATTAGAAACACAAGTTTCACTTCGAGGAGTTTCTGGTTTTACTCGAATTTTCCCCTCATTGATGTCTTCTGACGAGGTAAACTCTGGACTGCCAAAAGAAATGGAGGATGCTTCTTTACATTTTCTTACATTTTCATTTTCTTGCGAAACCCGGAAAAGTTTTGAAGTAAGTGAACTAGAGTCCTGAGTATTAAATGGATGTCCTGAAACATGTGAAGTGCTTGGATCACAATGAATCAAATGCTGAGCAATTCTTGCAATAACTTCTTGTCGTTCCTGAATTAAGGAGCCTATTAAAGGATTAGTCTCACCAACTGACTGCCAGGAACTCTGGCGGCTAGAGAAACTGGAATCAATCATTGAAAGTGATTTTAAAGTTCTCATTGATGTTTCATGTGATTTTGTATCTCCTGTACCACCGAAGCCCAGAGTATTGGCTTGAGATGTCCCATAGTCAGATCTACTGCCAGTGCCTGGAAATAGTCTGACATTTTTGACTGCTGCACTATATTCTGGAGTTGTGCCATGCTTTGCTTGTAATAAGCTTTCTGGTGCTGTGGTCCAAGTTTGTTTGCTACACAGACGCTGTGAACTGTTTGTACTACATTGTTCTGCTTCGTTAGGACTGCAGTGCTGATGAGTTTTAAGTTCATGTTCTTGAATTCTTTTCTCATAAAGGCCAATATTAGTGTGAATACTACAAGTCAAAACTGGGTAATTAGATTGTCTGGGCAAGGACTGAACACTGACTTTCAAGGCCACATTGTGAGAAACATTGGGAACAGGAAACACATGTTCAATTGGAGTCTGTGAAAAATTCCACTGTAAGTCTACATCAGCAGCACTGATTCTAGAATCACACAGAAAAATACTGAATCAATGGATTATAAAAGTTATATCTTTATTATTGTATATTATTTTAAAAACACAAAGCAGTAATATACTTATCTTTGTTTGCATTAATTACCACTGAGGTTTACTTTCAGCCACTTTACCATGCATATCATTGTGATAAAACCAGTGTATGTGGTACAATAGATTATGCTTGGAAGAGATGATCTTTTTAAGAATATCAGACAAATTGAGTGTTAAAGCTCAAGAATATTATAATTTAATAATAGTTTTCAAATCAGAAAAAAAAGGATTTTGTATGTACTAGTAAATAAATGGATTCAGCTAATTCTTTTGTGCAAGGTAATTAAGAGACACTCTCTATCTCATGGCCACTTGCCTGTATGTTTATATTGTTCAAGAAGCCAAAAATTAAATAAGACTATTGTTATAGAAATTAACAGCCCAGAAAACATTTCCACTAATGGAAGCATTAAGTCCATTCTTGGTTTTCTAAAGTAAGCTTAAAAGTTCTCAGAATACTATTCTATACCAAATTTAACCCAACAAGCAAAATTCATACTTATTCTATTTAAATTTCTCTACATTGTTTTGAGAAAAACCTCAATACGTTTTACCCACCTATATTTAGAAATGAAGTAAATTATTTTAAAGGTAAAATACTATTCTGTAGCTAGCCAATGAGAATGAACGTGCACTGTCCTTTTATTGCCTTACACATACCTGTAAAGAATATTTCGTGGAATAGCACCATGAGAAACACTTAGCCAAGCACTTAACTGAGAAAAAAACACAAATGAGCGGACAGCCAACAGAAGAGTCTTCTCCGCAATAAATCGATCGCCACTCCTAAGGAAAGTAACAAAGCATAATCTAAATGTCAGCAAATACAAAATGACTAAATTTTAAAGAGATAGATGCTGAAATAAACATATCACTCAGAATGTGTGCTTTCAAGAGCGTAAGAGTGCACTTACTAATGTTACTTAAAGTCACAATGACTAAATACAAGCACTAAATATCTTAATTTTACTACATAGAGAGATGCAATGACATGATACATTATTAAAACAATTTATAGGAAGTAATGGAAAATTTGCTTTACCAGGAACAATTTCAAGCTAAGTTCAACAACTTACTGTCGAGGAACTGGCTCCAAGATCCATCTTTCTAATAATAATGCATCTTGCTTAATTGCAGGATCATCTAGATCAATTCCTTCTGTGGTGGGCCCATCATCACTGTAGCAGCAGTCTGGTAGTAGCATTACTTCCACCATGATTGGAAGGTTATTCTTCCACAACAACGTGACCTCAGACCTGGTTCGTCTGGCTTGGCGACACTTAGAAAAAGTGAATATAAGCAAAATGTCTCAATAACCCACCTAATTTTGTATTTAAATTTGAAAATTATGATTGTAAAGTAGACACCTGTATGAGAAGTGAGTCATCTACTGCAAGTTTTGCTCAGGCTTGGCTATTTAGCTTCCTCATTAAATAGTGGATTCATGCTAGTGAGCTCTAGAGTGCAGGGATTAGTATTGAATAATTATAGTACAAATTTTCTTGGGGAGGATGTCTTTGCTCTACCTTGTGGAAAAAGAACTGCCGCATGCAATGTCTGACAGGACTGTGTCGGCTTAGCTTTGCCTAGACTGTTAATTTCATCATCTTATAGGAAAAGTTAATTCTTAAATCTAAAGACCAAAAAATATTAAAAACTCATTTTAATTAAACACTCAAAATAGATAAGATTTTTTATTTATTTATTTATTTATTTATTTATTTTTATAAAGATGACCGGTAAGGGGATCTCAACCCTTGGCTTGGTGTTGTCAGCACCACGCTCAGCCAGTGAGCTAACCGGCCATCCCTATATAGGATCCGAACCCGTGGCCTTGGTGTTATCAGCACCACACTCTCCCGAGTGAGCCACAGGCCGGCCCTAGATAAGATTTTTTAAAGTTTAAAATTGTGAGCTACATTTGAAAAACTAATAACTTGGAGAATTCTTAAAGCAAATTATACACTACCTACCAAAATATTTTTAACAGTATTTATACAAAAACATTAATACAACAAAAAGTATCTTCCCATTAAAAAAAAAGGAATACAAGAGGGAAATTGGTTAATGTGGGAAAAATAATCATCACATCAATTTAGTAAATAAACAGAAACACAATGTGGATGAGCCAAAACTGAGACTCTAAAAATAAAGAAAGCTTAATCACAACAGCAAAGATGGTCTTAAATCTAGAGTGTGAAAGGGCAGGTATAGAATTGGCTGCCCACCACTCCCTAATCAGCAAAGCTACCTGCTGTGCCTTCAAGAGCTTTAAGAGCCAAGACTATTAGCTACAATCCAGGATTAGGATTTTTCCTTTATAGTTATAACCAATTTTATATTTAAACATGAAAATTATAATTGTGATATAATAAAGGTGATGACAGAATTTAAACTAGTTTATATAAAAGATAAATAAAAAGCATTCAACACATGATTCTCACCTGGGCCAGCTTGTCATTACATTCATGTTTGGTAGTTACTGGGTAACAAGACTGTGCTGGAGGGCAATGGAAACTTTCCGTTCGACCCTTTACAGAACATTCAGGTGTTCGTCCTTCTGTTATTAGCAAGGCCAAAGAGACCAAGAACTCCTCTGCATCATATTCAAAATATTCATCTAGAGTATCTGGTATTAAAAAAAAAGAAAGAAGGTCCTCTCTTTAATGTACTCTTAATAAGAACTCATCTATTATGCCTAAAATAACTAATATCACATTCCATATTCAAGTATATTCACTAACAAGGAGTGGAAAGAATAAAAATGAGACAATCAAAATACAGTAAACTCTTGATTCACAAAGCATACACAGTGTGAGGAGATGATGGATAATTTCCAAATTTCAGTTGAACAGAACTGGTTAAATTATGACATAAAATGTTTTTTTACGTAAACTTCAGTAAAAATACCTAAGATTTAGAAATACATTTTTCATCCTGCAGATAAATACATTTTTGAATATCAGGCACAATAGTTTTTACGCACTAAACATCACTACTAGCTAAAAGGTTAAAATGTCTTATGTCACATTATTAGCTAAAATGTTTTATTACTATTGTTACATATTAGAAAATGATACAGACCCAACTGTTTTTCCTTTTCTCTCCCCCTCCCCTTCCTTAACTAGTTCCTTGCTCTCACAGTATTGATTCTGTGATGTGGTCATTCACAGCCACAGCATCCTCTCTGCCTTTGCTATACAGTAATAATATTTTCAGATGCAGAAATGCTATAATTATCCAGCAGGGGGAGAAGCCCTGTTTGGCAATACATGTAGTGTGATATTTTGGTTATTACACAGGTCTTAACATTCTAACCTGTAGATGTTTTCATTTAGTTGTAATTTAAAAATTTCTCACAAGTGTTCTAATTTCTTTAACAGTTAATTTTAAAAATTGTTAACCTGCTACACAAGTTGAATACTCATGCACAAATGTGCACATGAAATTCAATTCGTTGTGCAATCTTGAAAAATTTGTTCTTATCTCTTCCAATTAAGTAACAAATATTTCAAGTGTCTTCTATACCGCATTAATGATAGAGGGACACAAAGGTGTCATGCACATAGTTCTCAGCCTCAAAGGCTTTATAATTCAGAGATGATTTTAAAAACAAACAGTGCAGCATGGAAAGGATAGAGAAAAAGTGCAACCTGAGCAGATAATTTATGTGTAGAACAACTCTGCAAAAGGAAGGACTGGAGCCAGATTATGAATAGCCTTGAAGGGTATGATAAAGAATGCCTATTTCTAGCCTCAGGAAGGCTTATCAGGAAAGGAAGGAGTCTTGAGAGTAAACTTTACTGAACTGGTATTTTTTTTTTTTTTTTTTTAAAAGATGACCGGTAAGGGGATCTTAACCCTTGACTTGGTGTTGTCAGCACCACACTCAGCCAGTGAGCGAACCGGCCATCCCTATATGGGATCCGAACCCGGGGCCTTGGTGTTATCAGCACCGCACTCTCCCAAGTGAGCCACGGGCCAGCCCTACTGAACTGGTATTTTTAAGACCATTCAGAAAAGTTTCTCTAAAACGACCATATGAAAGATATAAAACGACAGCCAACATTTTGCAATTTATCATTGTTAGGCACTGCCAGTTCTAAGTACTTTCTATGCATCAACTCATTTAACCTTCAGAGCAGCTCTGGAAGATAAGGACTATTACCTCCATTTTACAGACAATTGAAGCATGGAGAGGTTAAGTGACTTGCTCAAGATCATCCAGCGAGAAGTAGCAAGGTTGGAATTTGAATCCATACAGTATGGCTTCAGAATCTGGGCTCTTAACTACCATTCATGCCATCCTTCATTATGGCTATAGAATTTTCTTTTACATATCGTTATGCACTGCATAACATTTCAGTCAATGAGGAACCGCATATACAATGATGGTCAGAGCAATAGGTTATACCATCTAGCCTAGGTGTGCAGAAGGCTATACCATCAAGGTTCGTGCAAATACACTCTATGATGTCCATACATGATGAAACTGCCTGACACATTTCTCAGAATGTATCCTTGTCATTAAGCAACACATTACTGTATTTTAATATGTTTATAAAGACATAAATGAAAATAATATATATTCAACATATATTTTAATAATACATTTTGGAATTTTTATGGTATAGAATTGGTTACCAGGAATAGGACCCTCATCTATAATAATGTGTAAAACAGAAAAAAAGGGGAGGTCTTCAACTTTCCTCCAGGAACAAAATTAGGCCATAGATCAAGGTCTCCTGGGACTCAGAGAGTTAAATCATAGTGTCTTCATAAAGAGGAAGGCAAAAGAAAAACAAAAGGAATCTATTCAATCCCTGTCCCTGGTGAGTTTTCAAGGCTAGCTCAGACTTGCCATGGGCTACATGGCATGATTTTAGTTTCCAGAAGATTCTCTGGGCTCATCCTGTTCCCTCCCCCAGTATGTGGGGTAATCCCAAAGAGCTAAGAATTGTAGCAGAGCGATGACTTCCAATTTCCAGAATGCTGAATGATACCAGGATGTCAGCTATTCCATGTGAGTACCAAAGATGGTTTGCAGCCTAAGTAATGTCTCATATACATGTGTTACTATTTTTAAAAAACACTACAGATATTATTGGGATTACTAAAATACAAATTTATATAAAAAGCACTATTGAATTAATAGTAGCTTTATAACATTATAATTTTCTTAATCACACACACTAAAACTTCTATTGTGTGGGGGTTTGTTAATTTTTTCATCAAATAGGAGTCCTCAGTGATGACAGTTTTAGGGACCAATGCTGAGAAGAAATATCTATCAGCTTGATTATGGCTGCAAAGCACCCAGACAACTCACAGTGACCTCAGCATCATTTAAGCTAAGTTAATGGAGCTTCTCATCTCTTCTTAAGAAGCACTAGGTTGCAACATAGCCTTCTAAATCACTGCATAGAATTATTATTAAGAAAATTGGCTAAAAGTGTAATTTAATTATTCTTGGATGATAAAAGTTGTGGCACCAGTATACTACAAGGAGAAAGTTCTGAACTTAACATCAGGAAACCTGAGTTCTTGCCTCAGTCAATTCATCCAGTTTATCATTCATCCCCAACTAAGTTAAAAAACACATGGATCTACACTTAGAAAATTCTCAGAATAGTAGACAAAACAATTACACACATATTATATTGTGCTATGATAATTGCTAGTATAGAGGTTAGCTGTCTGTGCTATGAGGGCACAGACTGGTGGCCATAGTTGGGTAGAGGTATAGTTGGGTGGTTAGAAATGCTTCCACAGAACTGACCTATTACTTAAGGTAAGTTCTTAATGTTTTCCTCTATAAAATGAAAGTAACATCTGCCTAGTTATCTAAAAAAAGCAAAAGAGCTTTAGGAAGATCATGTAGGTACAAAGCTTTAACTGTCCCCACTGTTGAAAGTGAACACTGGCAGCCTTCTTAAATTATGAGATTGTGCTCCTCAACTTCACCAAAGCCCATTAATTCAAAGTGGGCACCCGACCCAAGCTGGGTCAAAGTCTCTTTTCCAGGACACTGGAATTAGGATTGAGAGATGTTAGTTGGTTCCTGCCTGCTCTGATTTGAGCTGAGGCGATGTACATTCAGGAGCTATGCAGTGGCCACTGGCTGCCATGGGCATTGAAGAGCAAAAAAGTAAATGAAATAAGCTAGATGGTGAATGAGAGATAAGAAACCTCCTGGCCACAGAAAACAAGTAAAAAATTAATAGCCTAGCACATCATAGTCACATTGCTCAAAAATAGAGTTAAAGAGAAATCTTAGAAACAGCCAGAGAATAAAGATTGGTATGTTCAGAAGAAAAAAGCCAGCAAGAGAGCAGATCTTTCATTGGAAACAACTCAAGAGAGAAGACAATAGAGCAACGTCTTTAAGAGCATTGAAAGAAAAAAATCCTTCAGGCAGAAGTGACAAAAGCAAGGTCAGTAGTTGTATTGGGATTGGGGAAGACAGGGAGGGGTGGAAATGGGGAATCACAGAGGGGTACAAGGATCTTTGTGGGGTAATGGATATGTTTGTTATCTTGATTGTAAATATATAAAAAAACTTGTAATATTGTACACTTAAAAAAAAAAGTAGTTGCATGATTCCTAACAATGTTCCAGTCCCTCATGAGGCCTATTGAGAGAGAACTCTGTATCCCTATTAATTAATTCCTTTAAGATTATTGAATGGGTTATTTGTAATCAAAAGCACCTTGACTAAAAACTAAAATGTATGGTTATGAAATCACAGGAGACATTCATCAAAAATTAAAAAAAATGCTATTCTATAAATAAAAATTGAGTGCTATGAACTGAATTGTGTCCCCTCTAAATTCATATGTGAAACCCTAACCTCCGATTGACTGTATTTGCAGGTAGGGCTTTTAGGAGGCATTTAAGGTTAAGTGAGGTATTAACAGTGAGGTCCTAATGCGACAGGACTGGTGGTCTTAAAAGAAGAGGAAGAGCCCCTCCCTGACCACCCCTGCTCATGCAATCTGCCCAAATCTATGGTGTTTTATGGCAGCCTAAGAAGACTAACATATTGAGGAAAACAAAACTTGCCAAAAATTTGATTATTTCAAAAATTTAAATAACTTTTATCCTTATGCCTGCAAAAGTATAATGCATCTCCAAAGCCCCTAGCAGGAGCTGGCTTAATCATGCACTAGGAATCATCAAGTTGAAAGTGATAAAAACATATTTACTGATAAATTTATAAAATTCATAGCATAATAAAGAAAAAAATAAAAATAACTTGTCTTAATATTCAGAGATACCTATCTTTAACCTTGCAGTCTTATTTTAAGCATGTGTACAACTTTTAAAACAAACAGGTTCACCCTATACAGCTTTTCATATTACTTTTTTCATGTACCATTATACAACCTACACTTTTCAATATCATTAAGCATTCTTTAAAAATGTGAAATTTGGGCCAGGCCTGTGGCTCACTTGGGAGAGTGCGGCGCTGGTAGTGCTGAGGCCGTGGGTTCGGATGCTACATAGGGATGGCCAGTGTGCTCACTGGCTGAGCGTGGTGCGGACCACACCATGCCGAGGGTTGTGATCCCCTTACAGGTCAAAAAAAAGAAAAGAAAAAAATGTGAAATTTACTTTGTAAGAGAGT